CCCAGGCACACCCCATGGGATTTGATTCTCCGAGTTTGCCTGCAATACTAGGACGCCGAACTTAATGACCCCACGGTCCCTTTAGGTCCTGTGTTCGCATGAACCCCGTCTTGCTGGAAGCCCGCAGGGTTTGAACCCAGGGCTCCTGCGCTCTTGCTTCACACCATGGCCACGTTCCTGGCTCGGCAATCTTGCTTTGGAGGTTACTGTGTTTGCTGAGCCATCATGAGCTGTCTTTACTCGAACAGCCTTACTCGCCCTCTTATCTGCTCGTTACCATAATTGAGTGCCTCAGTCTTTGCTCTAGCTGTGCTCCCAGCGGCGAGAAAGGAAAAGGGGGAAGGGAAGGCATCTTCCCTTGCCAGTTCCTCCTTGGGGAAATCACTCGGTTCCCCATTTCTACCTGGGAAGCCCATGGCTATGCGGGGATTTGAATCCAGGCTAATGTCCTAAACACCGGGTTAGGGTTTGGGTCCGGGTTCCTCTCCTACACCTATTGTGGGCCCTCATTCCTCCCTGGGCACCATCCACCGATGCAGAAGGTCTGGCTGATGGTGAAGCCCTTCTGTGTTGCTTGGTATGAAGATGTTGGTGAGAGAGAGGACCAGTGACCCCAAGCACATGGCATTGGGCTCTTCCATCCTAACGTCGTGGTTATCCTCTCGACAGGGCTTTTTGCATCCTAATGCCTTTCGTAGTAAACCCCTCCTGTAGCAAATATATTCTCTATGGCAATGATTCTCAACCGGGCTGCCCTGATTTTTGCCAAGCTTGCCAGCATGCAAACACGATGCACGTGACAAGCCCAGCGATTTCAAGTAGGAATCCCTGGTGTCAAAAATATGCTACTCTGTTCATGGTCTGCCTGAGTTCTTCGCCGTGGAAGAACCACTCTAGTATTTTTCTGCGGTCAAAAACATGTGAAAATGTAAGAGCTGATATTCTCCGAGGGGGTCCTCTTATCTATCATGGGCTGCCTTGACTTTCAAAAGGCTGAGATCCGCGGCTTTGCGGTGTTGGGTTGACCTGCCGTCAGTCGCAGTTGGCTGACTGGTGGTCAACTGGTGTCTTTATTAACCATGTTAACAGAAGAACATTTTTCTATAAGTCAGTACATTATCCCAACCACCCAAAACCTCACGTCTGGGGCTCTTAAAAATAACCACATTGAAATCCTGCTTGGAGCTAGCACATTGGGGATAGCTAACGAGAGTCCACGCATTTTTATTGCAGCTTGGAAAAAGGTCCATGGATGAGGATCCAGTGCAGACACTGTTCAGAGCTGAAGCCTGCTTCCTCCTAGTCCTGGGGTCGCTAGCCTTGATCGCCTCGCCTTAATCTAGGACCGAGTATGTAGTTAAAATAAATCGTGTTGCAATGCCCTGTTTCCTCCCAGAAATGCTGGTTGCAATGGAAATAGGTTTTCAGACGGGTACCGAGACCAAACTGAGAAGCGAGCGTTTCTCTCGGCCAGTCCTGTCGCTAACTCCAGGTATCAGTTTACCTTTCTGCCGCACTTCTGGAGCCAATTCATGTGCAAAAATAATGGGAGCGGTCGGTGCTTTGGCTTGCCCTCTGGTGGCAATACCTTTTGCAGGACTGGGATTGCTTTGCAGCGCAGGAGGGCGCTGGGTGAAGCTGCGATTGGAGACGTGGGCAAAACGAAGTGATGCAACTTTAAAAAAAATGTAATAGCTTCCTTTTATTTTTATCATGCAGTGTTGCTAACCAAAGCAACAGCACTGGACGTGAGAACCTGGAAGAAATGCTAAAAAGCAAGTGTGGGGTATTTTACTCAAAGGATGTGCACCAGTAAACAGCATATGTGGCCAAGAATACTCTTTTTGCTGGACTTTTAGCTCAGATACCATGTTCTGGAGGTGTTTGAATAGAAAGCCAGGTATTCAAGACCACCCAAGACACTGCAGCCCGATGTAACAGGCTTGACCAAATAGCCTCTTTCCTTCTTAACTAGCATTTTTTTTTTTTTTGTGCATGCTGATGAGAGGAATAGGCCCATCGGTCAGTGTTGCGACAAGCGGCTAGTTTTGCTAAGACTTAGAAAGGGGAAGACGCATGCAAATGTTGCTTCGGGACTTCTCGAGGCAGGGGTCTTAGGCCGTGGTGTGTCGAAGGGCTACTGTCGCAGCCCTGAAAAAGCTGGCTCTTAAGGTATCCCGTGCACCAAATCCCCCTCTTTTTTTGCAGGGGGTGGATTGCAGGCTTGCACAAAACGTCTTCCATCTCTCTGTTCTTTTAAGGGCATGATGTCTCTCCAGCTCCTTCCTGTCCGGGGAGGCATTTTACGACCAGCCGAGCTGATGCTGAGCTGAATTCCAGCGTGCTCCTTCGGACCGGCCGGCTGCTGCTTTAATTGTCCTGCTGTCAGGAGGCATGTGCCTCTGAAAGACTTATCTGATTTTTACCAAAGGCCTCGGGAGCCTCTAGGATACTGACCCCTGCACTCAAACAGCTTCGCCCCCCGAGGCCTGGCTTCCAAGGGGGATACCTGAGAGGTTTAGTGCAGCCGGGTGTGTGCCGGGAGCCGCCTTTTCTTCCATGTCACCTGGCCTCTAGAGCACCTGTCCGAGGGGGCAGGAAGGGTGAGAAGGGGTGGGCGGCTTGCAGGAGGTGGAGGGGGAAAGCAGGGGCGCCGAACAGCTGCGTGTGTCAGCGCGAGGATAAGTGCGAGGAGATTAATAGTTATTTAAAGAGCAAATGGGGACATGGCATTCGGCTCAGGAATGCGACTATATAAATGCACTGGAATGGGTGTTCTGCCGCTAACATTTAGACAGATGTCCCCTGGACCGAGGGGAATGACAGGGATTCGGCCGTTTCCCTCAAGCCGCTCTTGCCTTGCAGGAGGACGGCGATTTCTGCTGCAACGAACGGTCTGGCAGGGTTTCCCGTTGGCCCTGGGGAGTCGCCGTCTCCGTTCGGGTGCCTCACCCCCAAGAACCTGTTCAGCAGCCTGACGTTATTCTGAGCAGCGCTGTAGGCAAAGCCGGCGCTCCTCGTCTTCCCGTTCCCATCTGCTGGGCTGCTCCTTTCTGCATCCTTGCAGCCTTTCCTGCTGCCCTCCAGGAGAGGGGTGCATCCCTTTCTTAGGGAAGAACACGTCCCTAAATGCTGATGACAAGAGCTTCGGGGATGTATTCGGTAGCCGTGTTGGTCCGAGACTAAAAGCAATGCAAAAAATCTAGAATTGTTGGTTCGGAGATGATCCCTTGTATTAGACCAACTGCACTCCGAAATTAAATTATTATTATATTGGATAAGAAGAGCTGGGATTATCACAGGAGCCTGCAGCAGATTAG